CACTGTAAATGCACGAAATATTGGTACGTTAATTTTTTTTTTTTTTTTGTTTTTACTCAGGGAATTGAGATCGAAAGATGGAAGAAGCTACCAGATTACGAACTGTATGTTACTCCTTTCCAAATAAATGGTAAATGTGTAAAGGCACAGAGTTGATTTCTACCCCGACCCATCGAACTCTGTTACACTAAGCCATAAATAAATACAAACGACAACTGTAGACATGGTGACAATTGTAAACAAAAGGAGTGAGATCTACGGGAGTGTATGATACATTTTTATGCTGATTGTGGCTCTGAACGTAGCAGCTGACAACCCGAAGATTCGATAGTATTAGTTCATCCCATAATCTCGTGTCACGGATTGCGTTTATATTTAATATAAAAAAAAAAAACAAAAAAAAAACTTTGTTAAAAGAGAGGATGATTAATTTGAATCGTAGAATGAGTTGCGTGAGCTTGTGAGATGACTTAATACTTCGGGCAAACTTTACGAGTTGCGTTACGATTATGCAAAGCGAGTGGGACCAGACGTGGCTCTATCTATTTTTCTAAACTTTCTCGTGAAAAGTAAATCTACGCTTGGGATCAACCAGGAATCGATTCGCGCATACAAGAACGAATCGAAACAGAATTAAATAACCATTCGAAACGACCGATTATTTAGAAAATCAATTCGGAATGAAGGCATCCCTAATTCATAAGGTAGCTGTGTCCCTCCCCCAGCGGTTAAAATCAGCCGGTATAATTCAGTCTCGATACGAGCAATCGATCCTAATCTACGTCAGAGTCCGCGCGCAATGACGAGCCTATCGAATTCCTACATTAAATCTATACACGGGGGTGTGAGAAAGCAACGAGGAGATCGACAAAGGATTTACCGGAATAAATCTCTGTAGCGTTGCAACAAACGTGCCTTATTTGAATGTCACGATCGCCATTCGATCGGGGACACCGCAACACAATAATCTAACAATCGTGTATCACGACACGTTTCAATTTTCAATAATTCGTATTATATATAATATATATATATTTATATGAATCATATATATATATATATATTTATTTTGTTTTTTGTATTTATATGTATATATGTATATATATATGTACCTGTGCGCACGTGCGTATACAGGGCGAGTCGTTCGAGATTGATTTGAAAGTATTAGGATGATGCGGGAGCAGCTTCATTTTTTAGCTGTTAACTTTGAGTAAAACGTACATTAAAGAAAAACGCGGAATATCTGTCGTCAAAGTGCAGAGCGAAATTTTAAATGATATATACCAAACTAGAAATTGATTACAATATCTAATAGTAAACTTGAACAATACAAGAAACGAAATTACTTTTGCGCCAACCGAACGTATGGATTATATTAAAAAAAAAAAAAAAAAAATATTTCAATTTCAAATACCAGTGATTTTTCTTTCTCGGAAAACTTCACACCCTGTACAAGCATGCACGAACCATTCGAACGTAAATCTAATGGAGTGAACAACACGATTCACGCTCCCATAATGATAAACATGTACATACAGACACGCGTGAAAGTAGTAGAATAAACATGAATCTCCTTAGCCGTTCCAAAACGTAAACCACGCTACCAAATCCATGACTGGGGCGATTCATTGTGTTCGAGAGCTCGTGCTCGATTACTACTTATATTTACATTATTGTTTATTCGCAGAGTTGTCTGTTGCTCGAGAATTGATAATATCGAGGCATATTTTACCATATATATATGTACACAATAAGAAAACAAGTAAAACTAATAGAAAGAAACGATTACACTCATCGATAGAAAAACTAAATACGAGTGAGCTTAATTATTAATCAAAGAACTTTGTTACGTAAATCTCTAAAGACAGAGCTAAAGAGAATTTGAAAATCGTATAACCGAGTTAGCTATAAGATGCTTCTACGACTATCGATTCTGTTTCGTTCGCATCACTTTAAGTCAGGAATGTACCTCTTCTTTCGTAGCGTATAAAATGTCTCGTTTACCTACGTAAAAACAGACTAAACGTTTTTTTGGACGAACGTTACTCAAATATCGCCAGTTTTTGCAAAACTTTTTTAAACACACATGCGTGTTCTGTGAATTATTTTATTGCTCGATATAAGTATACTTTCAGCGTATCTCATTTATCAATGAAATATCATTGAGAATAAAGAGTTACGGTTAAAGTTACAGAAGCATTTTTCTTTTTTATTGACGGCGAAAAGTCGAATAGAAGGTGCGATGTTCGATTCTTTCTTCGTATTCTTCGATGGTCAATGTGAAAAATTACTTTTGTAATTTTAACGTAAAACTTAGTTTGGGAACACGTTGTCGAGTATTCAAGCCTTTCGCGACCTGTAATTTTAGGCGTCGACGTGAATTAATATCATCGAAATTCGACGACGCCAAAAATTGTTGTAAAAGCCACGTTAGTATCCTTAATAATGCGTACCGTATAGGTATCTATCTACGGTCATGATAAGTAGTCAATTCATGCTAATGCGAAAAATATACACCGTAAGCAAATGATAAAAATAAAACAATTCGATGACAAAGAAATTACAGGTGGAATAAGGAGAAGGGTGTTCGAATATAAATTTATACTATACGAACATAAAAAAAAAATATACATCTCGAGTTCGCACGATAAAGAAATACAAATGAAACAGCAGGAAGAGACGATATTGTGGATCCCCGTGCCAGCAAGTACTGGATTTCTGTGTCTCGTGCAATGGCTCTTTATCAGCACATTTAATTAATGGGATTTCTTATGTACAATTCAATTAGAGCTTTACAATTTCCATAACAAAGACAGACAGGCATAATCGAAGCGTGGGTCGCGATGCAAACGCGATTCGAACGTCGCTCGGAGCTGCTCTATTTTTTTTTGTTCCTTTTATATTTTTATTCTTCCTTCGTCGCCACTCACGGGAAACATAATTAACCATCAACGCATTCGCGAATATCATCTGTACAAGATATACTACTGAAATATACATCTCACACAAGACTCATTAAAGACGATTAGAAAAGGTTTCTTTCTAACAAATTCTTGGTTCGTTCACCACTCGCTTGAACTCGATCGCTCCTCTCTCTGCGAGCCAAAGAATGTGACCAGCCATGGATTTTTTTATACATCAACGTTTGAGGTTAAAGAAAATCTCTATGGGGAAGGGGGGGGGGCAAGCGGAACGAGGGAATGGGACGGGAGCGATGATGTCGAACCTACTAATTACAAGAGAAATTTTGAGCTCCATTAAATACAAGGAAATCTACGATAAACAACTAATATCATACAGCTACTGTCATCGTGCCCAAATTTACTCTCGCTCACGCAACAATGATATTAATCTCAAAAATGAAGATCGGTACGGATCAAAAGTGATCGTACACGAGAAGAAAGAATCGAGGGAGGCATAGATAGAAACGCGCCACGAGGAAGCGCGCGGGTCGATAACTTGACATATAAACTCATCGAAAAATGCACGGTAAGGGAAAAGTAACTGGCTATAAAATCGTCTATAAAAAATGTACGCTAGTAATCCGATCTTGATACTGGACCCGAACATCTTTCGTTGATACTCGTGGCAAAGACATCTGTACGTCATTGGATAAGTTGCGAAACGTAATTTTCACTAAAGATACGCGGTTAAATTAAAAAAATTTAGATTAAAAAAAAAAAAACATACAAAGGTAATATCTATGCTTGTTACCTTTGCCCGTGGACTAATATTGTCCATCATAGTCATTGTATATGTTGTTTGGTTTTTTTTTTTTTTTTTATCGTTTTCCATGCACGCAGTTATATGCGATAATTATACACAATTATACGCGATAATCATGATTGTATGCTGTGGCAATCCTATGCCACGCTTTTTAGGATTATACTTGGTAACAACGCTCCGCCTACGCAAGGATTCAGTTCTTACGATCGCGTTGTGAGCGTAAGCTTGGGTACAACGAATATCTCTTAACAAATAATCATCAGTATCTTTCTGAACGTCGAGAGACGACATCCTTTTATGATCACGATATGTCTTCCCACGGCGTTTTTGATGTATCTTAGATTAATTTCACGCCTGCTAGGCCGTTTAAAATTGGTCCACCAGCAGGTCACAGATCTCTACCGACATTGACTCCTTACTCGAGCGTACCGTTAAACGAAACATCTACGAACGAAGTATGATTAATCACCAATTGAAACCGACAAGTGAATCAGTGTCGACTTGTCGAGTCGCGCCGATCCGTTTGTCTTGCGAGCATATTCATACTGTTACAAAATTACCTGCGCTTGTTTGTTAGGTTCCAAACGCAACAAGCACCCTACTTGTTGCGCTCTCATGTGCACTATACCCGCGCAGACGAAATTGTCAGGATTCGGATCGATGCCGTCGAGCAATTGCATCCCGAATCCTTGCAATTTCGTGCGAACTTGCGCAAGATCCATCGGCTGCTGCGCCTTGAAAATCTTCTGTGAACGTTGTTGATTCGCTCTGAAACCATATTGTTCATTAGAATTTTGCATATCATCGCAGAAAAATACAGTAAAAAGCTGGTCTCGAACTATTTACGTACCCTCCAAGGTTTTTCCACCGTGCGAAGAATGACTCTCCGTTCATTTCTGTAGGTTCGAAGAACTTATTGATCGTCAACGGCAACTTCATCGTTATTTTCTGTGGCACGTTATTATAAATAAACGATATGATCATACTTGGCGAGTCTGTGCGGAGAAAACAAATCAATTATGTCTTTGTAACATTTAATTGAACGGTGGTTATTCAATCCTTCTTAGAAAGTTATGTAACTTGCATCAGCATACCGTTGTAGTCGTCGATACACTCTGCATTTATCATTTGTTGAATCTGAGCACCAGCTTCCAGCGCCGGATCGACTGGTTTCACTTGCACCGCTAGTTTCGCTTGATTTTCTTCGGACCAAGAAAGCTGAGTTTGGAAACTGTGAAGAGCGTACTGAGTTTTGTTCCCATAGAAAAGACCGACGCGTCCCAAATTTTGTCGAAACTCGGACTTTACTCCGATTTGAATTAAATCATTTTCAAACAGAACGCCGTTATTCTTACAAACGAATCTGAAAAGTAGAAAATTCAGACATTAAAAACACGAACAAGCACAAGGACGATTATCAACGTTTTCATCAAGTATTTCTTAATGTGTCTTACTTCTTTGGATTATACGTATTTTGGGCACCATTCGTAGCACCAACTTTGTTCGGCATGTTATAAATATCCCCTAGTACGTCGAGAAGAACTCCCGTATTGCTAGTTGGTTGAGAAGACGGTGGCGTGGAAAGTCCCAATAAGTCTGCCGAACTGTTATTGACAACCGCCGCCGCGATAACAGGTACTTCCGGGTGATGATTAGTATTTGGTGCAGGACTCTTACTTTCTCTGATTTCATTCTCGGGCACCCGACCGGGCTTTTTCTTTTTCAAAACTGCGAGAATGGAAGATTCTCTTTCGGGGAATGCAGGCATTTCTTCCAAAACGGTAGCCTGTAGAGAGGTTAGAAGCATTTACCAAAAGTAATAGAGTTTCATATTTGATTCGGTAGGATATCCTACAATTTATAGGTTAGGATTTTAGATATATATAGAACTAAAAATGATATTTACCAGAACGTCGTTGGATGCGATAATGCTCAACTGAAGATACTCCGAAGCCCTCTGCTGCAGTTCTGCATCCGCACTGCGTAAATTATTGTGTTGTCGAAAAACATCTTGAATTTGGCTTCTCATTTCAGAGAACAGATTAACAAATTTGATGTACGTGGATAGTAATAACGCTCGAGTCATTGGAGAACATAAGTGATACTGAAGAGAAAACAAAATGGTAACGCGTTAAGTACGATGAACGGAAAGAGTAAAGAATTTAAAACTTACTTTGGAATGTAATAACTGGAACTGAACAGCTGGAGACGAGCGTTGATCACCAGCGATAAGGTTCCCAAATTCTCCAAGTATATAACCACCGACTTTGACCATATTTTCATGGCAAGCTGGAGCTTGTAAGGCCTAATAAATGTCATATATTATTAAAGTTCAATCGATGCTAGTTCCGCTAATTAAATCTGTACAACTTACCTCGAAAACCGTTTTTGCCGCGTACCCTTGTACATCCTCTCGGTTGATGACAATCTGAATAACTCTGTACCACACTTCTTCCGATACGTAGTCACCGGCTATCCTGATGAGATTCAAAATAACATCAACGTACCAAGTGTAATCGGTAGCATACTTTTCAGCTAGAATTGCAACCTTCAGAACCATCTCTTCTCTGATAGAATAGTCAGCAGTTTCGAGGTAGTTCAACATTTCTTGTACTATTTCTTCCGCATTGGTTTTATCACACATGGCATACAAAAGATCTACAGCCTGTTGCCTTACAGACACATCCTTCTCCATTTTCATAGAAAGAATGACAACCTCTTGATGCTTCTTTACTGCTTCGTGCGAGAGTTCTGATGTAGCCAGGTGACACATAGATTCGAGCGCCAAGTAGCGCAAATTGGTCTCGCGATTCGATAGAAATTGACCAAGTTGATTGCACGCTCTGACCGATAAAGGCAGTTCGCTATCGTTGTGAATGATTAAACTAATGGCCTCAAACAATACAGCATTCTTCGCATTGGAGTGCTGTACTTTCTTCGACTTCGGCGGTTCTTGAGCTTTATTTAATATAGTTTCTAGACATTCGTTTAATCTGCCTCTTACACCTGGATCTTCAGCTGTTAGGATTGAAATTATGTTACTTTGTTCAGTGAAATGATTATATATAAGGACCTAAACAGAAAACCATTAAAACGTGTTTTTCTAATGAGGAAAATTTTGTTAATTTTAGCCAAATTAAAGTTTTATTATTCTCGTTTCAATTTAGGTTCCTTATCATGCAAATGAATTACAAACACTTTACCAGGTGGAGTATAATTCTGTAGTAATCGCAGTAATTTAACAGACAGCCATGGTGCTGGCACAAAATAATATGTATAATCCTGTAGATCTGTGTAGCTTGATGTTACAATCTAACGAGATAGAAAAGATATCAAAGAACTATCTTTCGACCATAAGCTGAACTATCGCGTATGCCATACCCTGCTTAATCTTGAAACCGCTAGGCTGACGCATCCTTTGTATTCATCTGGATTTCTTTTTACAAGAGCATCTATTAGAGATGCCGCTGCAGTAACGACACCAAGATGTTGATCGTTTAATAAATGAACTATACGCGATGTCCATTCACCACCAGGTACAACATCGGGTGCAGTACGCAATAATCGTAACAAGCACAACGCCGCGCTTTGTTTAACTACATCCATAGTGTCTCTAGAATAGAAAAATTATATAAGTATAACAAAATTAATTTAAATTATTACGTCAACTTACCCAGATACAAGTAATTTTGGTATTTCATTACCAAAAGCCTCTGCCATTTCCTTACTGCCAATGTTGGCAATACATTGTAACGCGAGATTTACATGAATCGGATTACGCGATGCAAGATCATTTTTTATGCTTTGAATTATGAGCTTAATGAGATCGCTATTTGTATTTACTAAGACCGATATGAAAAGGTACCCCTGAAATACATAAAATATTAACAGAATTGAGTTTAATTTTTATTAGTACTAAATACTCCTTCTTCAAGGAGTCAACACTCACAATCTGTTTTTCTGAGTACTTATTAGATGAAAGTAGGTTAACAGCTTCCATATGTCCAAAGTCAATGTCATGACCAAGCAGGAAAATAAAAAGGAGCTTGCAAACATATTTCTTTTTTTGGTATCCATCAAGTGGTTTGTCTCCTTTAAATTTACTACGAATATTTGCCAACTCTTTGTTTATTCTCTTGATTTCTGCTTCTTTGCTTTTGCCTGACAAAATCAATATTTGCATATTTATGTTATATTGTAAACTTTTTATTATTTCATAATATATTATTTGTTTTTATTTCCATTGTGCAATTACAAAGACAGTATTGAACCGAAAATTTAAAATAATTTCTATAAATAAAGTATGAAATCACAGTACACAGTATTCATTTGTATAACATTTATATGTATATACACTATATACAAGTATACATTTGTTATATTTTTTAGAGAAAAGTATAATGGCTGTTTGCCACTTGGACCAACATCAAAGTTTGCATGTATTGATTTGTTCTATATTAGTTTCTTATCTTACTGTTCATCAAATTACATAAAGTATTAAACTAACAAATAACTAATAATTATAACATATTTGTGATTATTTTATTACTCATTCATCATCATAAAAGTTTCTCAAGAAAATTCAAAGTTTTAGGTCTAACAGACATTTATTATATTATGCCAAGTATTACATATTGGTGTATGAAAGACAAGCTATATCAGAAAGATATGCCTATATCAGAACTCCGCCCCCTTTTTCCTACTCTTGACTGCTTTAAATACTTTACATGTCACGTTAGTTTCAATGGCATCGTATCTCTTAACGGATAGAACATGGGTCATAAATTCAACGATCCAAAGGCTAACTGATGTTCCTTGTTATCTAATATTGTAACAGTACATGTGAATGCTATGATTAAATCATGGGATACAATTTACTATAATCTTCACATATAATAAACAGAATAAATGATTATAAAAACATGAAAAAAAATTCAACTTACAATTTCTAATATCAGAAATAAACACGGCTAGTCCACGCATGCCATCTCCTCTCACAGCCGGCATTTTGACTTGATCTTCTCAAAACCACCTGCAAAATAAAATAATCTGAAAAGCACTTATTAAGATATTTATTTGTTAAAAGTACTTTGAAAATTCAAACACTCTAGTTTTTAGTTTCATTGTTGATGCTTTTATTATTATTGATGAGCAACTTCTTAATCAGTGTTTATACATTATCATATGCTGTTATAATAGTTTAATGATAACTGTTTAAGTGTCAATTCATTATTAAAATTTATTTTGCAAATTCATAGCTATGTAATAGGTCATAAAAGTATTTGACCTGTTGCAGTGAAAACCTCTGCCATATATTACATGTAATTTGAACTAAATTTTTTCTCATGACTGTAAGACATAATGAAGATTGCACATGCAGAACTTGAAGAAAATACAGTGAGTTACAGAAAAGTATTCAAGTCTCTAGTGTTAGATATTGGTCATTTATTTGGATCACCTAATAGTAATCACACGTAGCTATAATCTGTATTGTGGTCAGATTTAGCGAACACTTTGTACCTGTTACATTTGTTATTAAATTTTTCTTCAAATTTTGTAAAGCTTATAGTTGCTTTTTGCTGTAATTACACAAGGGTATTTCAAAATACCTAGCATGATGCATCCATCACCTAAATATCTATTTGGTGTTTATCAGAACTTGTGCTTGTGGGTAGAGTCGCGTACATTATTTCGTCTGTCGTTGTACATCGTTATTTAATGACACGCGAACGACGTACATGGGGGAGGCTCAAGAAAACGTATCGAACGATATTCGTTGATTAAGAGTACTCGAGACGACGAGCCCTTCGGTGCTCGTAGCAAGTTCGAAAAACTCCTTGGTATAGTTAATTCGAGTATAATACCAATCAGCCGAGGTAGCAGGTCAGAGCAAAGGCAGAAATTGAAAGGACAAGCAGCACGAAGCGGAGCCGAGTTATTTGGACGCTTGAAAGGAAAATCGAGCGATTAAGCCGGTACCGCGTCCTAGATTCCGCTGGCCAAACACTTTTTGACAGCAGTGCCGTGCAAACGCTGATAGCGGCACCCGTTTCACAAATATTTTAAGGACCGTCTGCGTCGTACGAGAGCTCTGATCGGTTCTGTGAACCGATATAGATCGCGATGCATCGATCGCGAGGGCAAAAGGAATATTTCCAAGGAGAGAGACAGCTCGGACGGTGGCTTTTGGTCTATTCGACGAGCTGTCGCGTTCCGAAAGAGAGGGCAATGAAATTTTTGAAGGAAAGAGGTTATCCCGCTTTGCGCACAGATTAATCAGATCAGTTTTAAGTACATACCGATCTGGGTTAGGGTAATGTTCACACACGGCTCGGTCACGCAGCACTCGGTAGGCGTGAAACTATTCGCGAGTCGGTGCCAGAGATTTCGTGGCTGTCGCCATTTGCAACCGCTGACTAGCTGACGGCTGCCCGTCAAATGCCATTGCGCTTGCGCTTTACGTGTTGCGCAAGCAAATTCGTATTTCGAATCGAAGAAAATCTCATCGATCGTCTAAGCTGTCCGTTACTGGTTTTCCCATTAAAAAAATCGATTTTTTTCGCCTGTACTTTTTTTAAAGTTTGCAATTATAATAATGTAACAGCCAATCGCAACTCTAGGAATTGCAACGGTTACACAAGTTCAAACGGGCGATTCGAGTAGTTCCACGCTTCTTAAAGACTTAAACTATAAGTCGTGATTAATTAAAAATGCTTTGGGTAAATGTTGTTTGATTTTTACGCAAAGTATACTCTGATTAGTATTCTTGTAAGCTAAATCCGAAGCTATTTAAGACGTGTACAATAACCTATGCTTCAAGGGAATTCGAGGTTGTTGTAAGTTGTTTACAATGAGAGCTTCTGAGAATATATCAAATACTTTGATCATTTTCTTAATTAAACATAGACTATTAATACAATTCTTCAATTTCAGATACATACTCTAAAGCAATTCGATTTGTACAATACTGCATATTACTATTGCTAAATCTGGCATGATGAAGACCATACCAACTTTCTCTGTTCCTGTCATTTTATTTAATGTCTCTGCCAACTTATATACATTGTACAAGATGTATTAACATTATATTCATTTTCAAACATGAAACTTTACACGTCATTCTTCTCATGTATCAGTTTGATACCTGTTGCTGTATCTTCTCCAATAACAATTCTAACCTGTCCTTCATCACAGGTTGTCCCTTTTTTGTTTTCTTTGAGAGTTTCTTAAACGTTTGCATTTTCTTTTCCTTATACTTCTTAAGTGCTTCTTTTTGTTCTGTTTTTACCCGTACAATTTCCTCCTTCTTTTTCCTTTTATCATCCTTCTTGCGCAAGTATTCCTTTTTAGCTTTATGGAAGGCACTCACTTTTCTTGGTTGCATCCTTTAAACAGGAAATCTAATTACTTTGTCAATTAACGTTATCTCTTATATGAAACATAATACCGTTATACGTACTCATTATCGTTTTCATTTTTATTTTCGTTTATCAACGCAATTGGTTTCTTCGGGTTCTGACGTTGGCTCTTCTCAACCTCTTTGTAATAATCTCGCAAAATTGCTTTCTTCCTGCGTTCCTGCCATTGATCAACTGCCAACAAATAATACAATTCAAAGACCCGTACGACTGCGTAGCAAGAGCTTAAATCTAACCTATACGTAACTTATCTTACTTGCATAGCTTCGAACATACTTTTGTACTTGTTACTGTACTTCTGCGCCCTGTATTTTTTTTTATCGAAGGGTTTCTTTCCCGTCCTTTCATCTTTTGCATCGGCATTCTTCGGCTGCTTTCTATTAGGAATTTCTTTTACGCGTGTCTTCATGATTGTTGACAGACGATGCAATAAATCCCCTCCACTTTTCTCCGCGTGAATCTTAAGAAGGTTATGCGCACGCGCAATGTTTGAAGCGCCACGCTGCGCCAGTAAAGTATCTAATACGTTCGTGAAACTGGCGTCTTTAGTCGCCTCCCCATAAAATAGAATTATGAAAGGAAAAAAAATTAGATAGAGGCTTTGTGCAGGACATGCTATTGAAAACTAGTGTAAGTTATAGCTACTTTTATTCGTAAGCTACACGAGCGTTTAGAAGTGAAAGAAGTCGGTTGATTCAAAGTAGAAGCTTCGATTGTATTAAATTTAAATTTAATAATAATGAATACATTGGAGATTGACAAATTTGGAGAGCTCATTTCGAACTTGATTGATGGAAGGACTGATTCCTTATCATGAAAGAATGCTCCTCATAGAAAAAAATAAACGAAATAAAAATATCGAATAGTTATATCAGGACTCTTCGAAGAAGAGAATCATATCATTTGAATGAATGCTATCTTCAAAATGTGCAACTTTAAGTTTTTATGTCAATGACATTATTTATCAAATTTTATTAATTCTTTCGTTTTCGAAAATGATGAACACTTAGAAAAAAATACGAATTTATTAGCTTTTGATACGAGAAAGTTCAGTATTTTGTTCCAAGTGACCAAATTTTTTAATCTGGACCATTAATCATTTTTTAATCCGATAGACCCTATTTAATCTGGGAAAATCTTTGAAAACAATAAAATCTCCGCGTTTCGACCGAATTGCGGAGAATTTCCGCGCTTTTATCATCCCTGCCCCTAGCATACCTGCTACCTGCTATGCACGGTTGCGGCCCGCGGGTCGATGTCAAAGGAGAGAGGGGCAAAGGTAAACAATAACCGCGTGACGGTCGATTCGAGGGGCTAATTGAATCCATCGAGAAAATGATTCACATCAAAATCATATTCCCCATCGTTGTTTAAATAATAAGTATCGTTAATAATTAATTTAACTGTAGTCAGAAATTAATTTTCAGTTATTCAAATCAATAGATATAAAAATTTAGAAAAATTTCTGACGATTAGTGTCTCGATTGAATACTTAGTCTGGAACGTATGTTAGAGTACGCAGGTATAAAATCCTTAATATCGAATAGTATTACGTTTCCAAGATAAACGATTCCAAATAATTTTACGGTACGTCGATATTCGTTGACGTTGATAATTATTTAAAGAACATTAATTTACTGGTGGCACAACATCGCTACGTAGTATGGTGTCCGCGCTATCGCGTGTTATAATTGAATACTTTTTTTTTCAACCGGTCATTATAACACGCGATAAAAAGTGTCGATAGAGTGAAAGTTAAACGAAAGAAAGAAATGGTGACAACCATTACGATAATGATGGAGGAAGGGAGGACTCCGATATCATAGATCCAATTAAACTTTCTAAATTTATCGACGTACACGAGGCGTTTTTTTTTTTAAATTTATACTATATTGTGTACATTAACATCGTTAAATTACAAACTAAGTAATGACAAGCAGGGAGGCTTATCTAATATCAGAGACGAGAAATCGCGTAGGATGAATGGTACCCCGCCGCTAAGCCGGCTGCAGTAGTAATCCAGTGCAACGTCGAGTGGTATCGCGCGGAGAGACATGTCACCAGTCGAGACTCTCATTCTTCTGGCGATTTGTCTCGTGTCAGGTAAAACAAAGTCACGCGAATTCATCCACATCAGTTATCGTCGTACACGTTTCAAAGTGATCGCAACGTTCAGTGGCCAAGTTTGCGTTTTTCTTTCATTCTCTCGCGAGTCGCGCAAAGTCCATAGAAGGGAGTTTCCGGCACCCTTGCGGATTTTATTTCTTTGACTCGGAGTGCGCGTCTTGCCTTAGCAACGGGCCTTCTTCTTGTTCTTGGAAATCGTTCAGTAACAGAACGGTTTGGTTTTTGTCTGAACAAATTTTTGTTTGCGGTTCCAGCCTACTCGTATCCGCAGAACACGCTGCTGAACCACCTGAACAATGTGGAGACGGTCATCAAGTCCGTGTTCAAGGCTGAACCAGCGACGTTCAATTTGTACACCAGGTATGTATGGTACGATACTTCAACGATTGAGTTTTAAATTTTAGGGAGAAATAGATGGGCAACTATCAATGTATAACATTGGTTATTTGTATATAATTAATTATTTGCAGAACATGTAAAAAGTTGTTTTCTTAAATTGTCTACTTTGATAATATACACCTTTCTGGATAGCTTACTAAACGTTTATTTAACTTTGACCGCTAAACCTGTACAAATTTTTATTTGTCCATTGGGAAATATTTTACAGTTGAAATTCTAAATCACATTTACGAAGTAACAGATAAACATATGTTCATGTGTTATTCGTTATACGAAATTTTTATCTAGATAAGAATTTTGCCCATTTCTGATAACGGAAGGTCGCGACCTGAAGACGTGCTTTTTAAATGGAACACGAGTTAACACATAGTGGCACGCGAATATAAATAAAGTCTGGAATACTAGTCGCTCGTAGCTAGTTTTTTACTTTTATAATAAAATAATTTTAGAGTATTGCCGTTAGCATTTGTTCGCTGAAGTTCGTCGTCGTATTCATCAAATTCGTCATCTTCGATTTAAATTTCACGCATACGTATTGCTTCATAGTTGTTCTTCTTGCAGATCTCTGATTACATGAACTCGAAAACTTTGAACTTGGCGAACTTGGCCTTGAACTCGTATCCATGGCAGTGAATCTAACATCATTTTACTTTCTGTATTACGATCAATCGTAATATAACATAACGTTTACCATTTCTACTATTATTGGATGAAATAAACGTAACATTATATTACATGACATAAAAGAGACATTCAAGATATCGTATCAAAAATCTTGTATATTTTAAAGTTCATACGTATCGAATTATTGTTTTCGGGAGCTATGTTAAACGCAGAAGATATTATTTTCAAAATTATTACTGTCGATAAAATATTCTTTTCTTTATTTATACAATCCAAAAAGGATTTTACATAACGCAGTCATCCCTCGATACACGTAGCAATTTCGTTCTCAGAAGTTTTTACTCATTTCGAAATTTTTTACAAAATTATGCGTGCGCATAGTATTTTTGTACCAACGAAAAACCCGCGTTGAATATTATTTAAAATTCAGTACGTGCATGTATTCTTTTTTTCTTACAAAATCAGATCTTTTTAAACGAAACAAAACAAGTAATGACACGTATATATACTTTATATACGTGCAATTAATTAAGACGTTTAATCAAATTTTTTGCGCGTATTCTCCGATAGCGTTATTAATTAAGGCAATTGGAGCAGAAAAACGAATTCTTAACGTCAGTTGCTTTCCTACATTATTTTTTGGGATAAGAAGATATATATATATACTCTTTTTTTATATCAAACATTGATCATTTTTCCATACCATGACATTTATTTCAATGCCTTGCGATGCAGAGTTCGAGTATTTCAACGCAGAGAATGTGTTTCGGGTAAAAAAAAAAAAGAATTCGTATAGCCATGTATAGCCTACGAATTTTAGTCAGAAAATGCGCTTTCCAGATCACTGTGCCGTGTAGAGCTGAACGTTTACCGGTTCGTGTTCATAAACGATGCATCAATTTTTTCAACGATATGTACATGCAATCAGCAATTTCTATTCTCAGCGCTGACGCTCCACTGACTATCGTCGATGCGTGAATATCGCGGACGCGCCTCCTTTTTCTTTCTCCTTTTTCACCCCGTCTTTGCCTTCTGCTAAAGATCGAACAGATCGGCAACGGGGAACAAACGAGCCGTCGTTACACATGTTTCGATGATTGCTGCGATCGCCAGTGATTTTCTTGATTTTTCGCGCGAAGCGATTGATTCCAGCCGCTCGAAAAGAACGAAACCCCTTGATTCTTTATAACTTTCCTTCGATTCGTTTCATTTTTGCGAATCTATGCTTCCGTGACAATTGGCTGATTATTCGGTATCCTCAATCGTATTTTAACGATTTCTCTTTCACTTTTCGTATATTTTTATATGTAGTTCGACGTTTCTTTTTTTTTTTTTTTTTTTATTGTTTCTTTTCAATAATTCGACTTCTTTCCTGAATTTTCTTATTCGACAGAGAGAATCCATTCGGAGAGGAACAATTGTTTTTAAACAACACCGAGGTCCTTTACGCGTCTCACTTCAACGAGAGCCGGCCGACGAAGTTCATCATTCATGGATTCAGCGACACCGGAAACGAGGCCTGGGTACGAGGTCTGATAGACGGTACGCGACCATAATTATTACGTTTTCACTAAAATAATAATGATAAAGAATAATACATAACAATATAAAAAAATCTCTTTGTTTTATTATCTTCGCAATTCATTTTCATTTTATTTCAATGTTAGCATGCAATATTTTCTTTTATTCGTGTTTTCATACCGAACAGATCGAGGATTTTTACGCAGGATTATTAAAGTATCCTTTCTCGTATGTTCGATATTAAAATAACAAATGGCGAATTTTAGAGGCATTTCTAGAAATGTCGACGCCAGTAGCGGAATACGAGCGAAATTGAATTACAATCAGGGTCAAACCGTTTCGGTAAACACGGAATCGACGTCGTCAGGTTCAAGGGTCGGCACGATAACGAGTTAATTGATCACTTAACAAGTTTTTGCACGCGCGCGCGCGCTATGTTCCGGACGTAACGGCGCGAAAACTTTCACGTTAACTTCAATTTTCGAAACTCCGCGGACCTAGATAATACGAATCTCTTTGAAGATTTCCCATGTACGCGTGCAATTCCAGCGTATTTGCTTCACGAAGACGTGAACGTGATCGTCGTGGGATGGGGCTTCCTGGCAGCCGACTTTTATCCAATGGCAGCGAACAATACGCGTCGGGTAGGCGAGTTTTTGGGCAACTTTCTGGAATTCCTGAATCGCGAGTCGAACCTCGAGTACAAGGATGTTCATATCAGTGGGCACAGTTTGGGCTCGCACGTGGCAGGATTCGCTGGTGCTTATTTGGATGGACGTATTGGCAGAATAACAGGTGCGCACTATCACCGATTACTTAACACTAATTGTAAACCAAGCGGCGTTCATTTGTAACCCTTTTTACCGTGATGGAACAGGTGACTTGCAAGGCACGGTCATGTAACCTCGGATCTGGTCTAAACTTTTTTTGGTGATTCTAGATCCTAAAAAAGTTTCACGGTGTCCGAGGGTTTTTGTGAACACTTACGAATTTTTTTGAGGCCCTTACAATTTTTTTAGCGACTCACCAATTTTCGTATGGGTACTTGTTATAAAGGTGGACATTCGGTAAAAATTTCATGGAATTCCCATTTGAGGTTCTGAAGTAAAAAAATAGTTGCGAAAACTGAAAATTTCAAGGGGCTACCTTGTCGATTTTCGACCAAAAATTTGTATCTTTAGATCTCGGCCGAAATATGGTTTTCCGCGTTTTTAGGGGCAAGAAACGCGATTCTGAAGTCCATTTATCGATAAAAAAAATTGTATCGCGTGGTATATTTACAAAATTCTCGGCTTAATGAAATATATCAATTAATCAACCGATCGAATGGCCTGAACGGGTCAGGCAAAAATGTTGAACGAAAATTCTTCTTTGCGTTTGCAATATTGTTCGTTTCGTTTCAACGATTGTGTCACACGACGAGCAGGCTTAGATCCAGCGAGTCCCCTGTTCGAGACGATTTCTGGAATTGTTGACCCGGAATTGAGATTAGATCCGACCGACGCGCAATTCGTGGATGTGATCCATACCAGCGGGTCTGCTTTCGGATTCTTGGCTCCACTCGGCCACGCTGACTTTTATCCCAACAACGGAAAGTTCCCGCAACCTGGCTGCTCGTTTATTCTGACCTCGAGTAGGTTTCGTTATATTTATTTAGAAATATTGCCCGACGCAATTGTAATCGAAATTGAATAATACCGATTATTTGGTCAGCTTATTGCAGTCATTCGAGAGCACACCAGTTCATGACCGAGAGCATAGGTAGCACAGCTGGCTTCAAGGCGAGGACCTGCGAGAACTGGGAGAAGTACGAGGAGAATCGCTGCGATTACAATCCAGTCGTGCTGATGGGCGAATACGCGTCTACGTCGTAAGTTGGTTCTTGTTTATTCGTTTATAGCACCAAATAATAACAGGGACAGTATAAAGAATCATATTCAGAATGTTGCTTTTTTTTTTTTTATATAATAAAATAACTACGTTATGAAGAAATAAGTTATTAGAAATGATGCGCTATTCGAGCAATATTTATAAAAAAGAATTTGTTCCACTCGAAAATACTTTGTGAAAAAATCCTGAACGTGACCTTCCCTTAATTTTGTTTTCTCCGGTTGCAGGTTGCGGGGAAAGTTTTATCTATCGACGAACGACGCTCCTCCGTTCGCAATGGAATAAAACTTTTCAAAGATGGAAGCAAAGCTCGAAACGACTGTGTGTGGCGGTGATCGTGTACTCGCGACGTGGAACGATCCGTACTAGTCATTTATAAGTTACTTTATTTATCCAGCGTGAACAGTTTTATTCGAGGTTTGAAACGAATCAACGATACACTCCGAACGAGATCGAAGCAGGTGGCAAGGCGCCGTTGTTGCATGCCCGTAGGAAGTACAAATTATATTAATTAATCCAGCGCGGTTAGATGATATCTTTTTTCTCGTTCGTGCACCCTTGTAAACGAAAGAAAGAAAATAAATATTTTATTGGTTACTTCGGGCACGTCTCCTACATTATTCGTCCTGTTGAATATCGTATCGCTGTACTGAACGTAATATAACGATTCGCGACGATTCTTTATTCGTTAGGAAATTTATGCGACCGTCGCTTAAGAATAATAATTTATTTAATATTTTGTTTAACGATGCATAGACATCGCGAATAATAAATCTGGAAATCCATCGTGGAGATCAGTAATGCAATATCGATCGCGCAGGATCGCGCAGGACTGTTAAAAATGTTCCGTTAGAGAGCATCTTCGGGAAATAATTTTGATACGATGAATCGCGAGTGCTTGGCGTTGCTGTTGACAGCGCAATTAGCCGGAATTTTGTGCGCTAACGAGCACGATATCATTCGAGATTACTTTACGTTTAGAAAAGTGAAGAGGATCGTGGGGTTCTCTTGCGGTGACGTAGAAAGTATGAAACATTATCAAATTATTAGAAGCACTCAAGAAAAAAACGCGTATCGCGTATCGTCAAAAATGATATTTCAGTACTAGTACAGCGTTGCCAATTTTAAGATATTCATTGGATTCGTGAAGTTTACTAGCTTCATGGATTTCATAGAATTCGTGAAATTCGTGGAGCTCGTGGAATTCGAGGGATTTATGTAGGATTTATCAAACACTTTTTTGCTATCTAATATATAAAATTAAAAATTGTACAAAAAGTTAAGTAAAATTGTATTTATTACAGTTACAAAAGTTATACACTATGTTTTTCATAAAAATTGGATGTTTTGCAATAACATAAATATAATACATACATACAAGCATGGAAAGAAGGAGTTTTTCCTATATCTTTTTAACGATTTGAGAATTGAATGTTTAACAACAGCTTCCTGTCTTTCCTTTGTACGAAACAGATGACGTTAAGCTCGCGAGAACGTTCAACGACATGTACACCACGTACATTTCGATGGTGGACGTCGTAGCTGAATCGACCGTAGATTTAAAAAATTTTTTGGGCGCCGAGTATCATCAGCTAGGTATCTTCGTGGATTGCCGGTGTGACAGCGAGCGATACGCTAAAATATTCACCGATGTGAGTACTTTGAATCGTTGATTAAGAAAGTGGAGAATTATTGCGATCAGATCATGACGATTTGATTATGCGAGTAGGCAACGAGACATTCCATGTACGACGAGATGCACAAATGGTTGATTCTGGGGTCGAATTTGACCCACAGCTTGGAAATATTAAACGACGAAGCGTTTAGCGTTTCGACTGACGTTGTAATTGCTGTGCCATCGAGAAACGATTATGTTCTGTACGACGTGTATAATCCGTGCAAGGATCGAGGAGGAGCAACGAACGTGACAGTGTTCGGAACCTGGAACGGTGAAAACGGATTAAATGTTACGTTGAATCAGCCGAAGTTTCAGAGGAGGTCGAATCTGCACGGAATGAGACTTAAAGTTGGAATTGTGGCAAGTTTTGAACAGCTACTTTAGAAATAATAACTGAATAAATATATAATAATGGAAGGACCTCCTTTTAAACTCCTTCTTATTATGTCTCGAAAATAATCTCAAATACGATCTGATTATAAATAAAAAATAATACATTATTTTCATTCGTACATTGTATGCGAAATGATTCAACATCAAATGCAGGGCTTCTTAAACTTTTTTCATTCGCGACCTCGCTTATGATTGTGATTTCTTTCGCACCCCAAAAAATATAAAATAAAGATATGCAAATATTTTGTGATGTTAATTATTGATTAGGCAAATATATATATATATATATATATATATATATTTAATTTTATAAATATAGTTTTTAAAAATATAGTTTTAGAATTTGTTTAAAAACATACAAAAGTATAAAATTAAAAATGACACAAAAAGTTGTGAAATAGTATTTATTATAGTTACAAAAATTATACACTATGTTTTTTATAAAAACTGGATGCTCTGCAGTAACATAAATAAAAGAGAATATTAAATATTTCAGCGAAGAATCTCGCAACATCTAACGTATCTAATTTATTACGCCGTGTCTTGCAGATCAGTTACTCGTCCGAGAACACGTCGCTCCACGATATGATGATGGAGTACAACGTGAAATCGAAGTACGCCAGATCAAAATTCTTATACGTGCTCCTGAATCATCTGTCGGACCTCTTCAACTTCACGTAAATATAAAAGTATCCCGCTAATAAACGGTATAGTTCGATCACGCTATACATTTTCAAGATTTTATTTTCACAGCATGGACATCATGCAAATAAATGCGCGAAGAAGATTCGATAATTCCGGCCCCGTTTTCGCGGCTTTTAAAAGGAAACTCGTTGACCTTTCGGCAAGCCCTGTCGCAATGAAGATCGATAGATTGAACAACGGAGACATAATTGGGCCTGTGTGGCCAATACGGTATGCAATCGGTGTCTCGTTGTTTAACATCTCATATTTTTTTTTAATACAGATACCATTCAATTCCTTAACGAAACCAAACTTTTCTACAAAATTCAGGTTATTCCCGAATACGTCGCTAATGACCTCGATGTCGATGCGACGTAAAACCTTAATTAAAAAAAACGAAATTATCTTCATATTTTTAATTTCGGTAACGACGCTGTATTTTGTTTTTTTTTTATAGGTCATGCTTTATGTTTCGGACGATTTCATCCATGAAAGTAAAGCCTGGTCAATTTCTGCAGCCATTGTCCCCGAAGGTGTGGTACTCGATCCTCGGCATGACAGGGATCGTTACTTCGATATTAATTCTTCTCATAAGGATGGAAGGAATTCGCAATTCCGTGGAGAGCTACGGTCTTTCTCTCATACTAACGATAGGAGCTTTGTCGCAGCAAGGTTTTCAAACAAATAACATTATTATCGCAAGCATTACGGTTACGAAAATTCAGTAATTCGAAACACGTTGTGCGCAGGTTCCGCGTTTATCCCGTCTCGCATCGCAGCCCGCATCGCTTTCCTACAAATTTTACTATTCAGTGTATTAATCTTTAATTATTACTCGGCGAGCGTCGTGTCGAATCGTTTGAAGAACAAAGGCGAGAAAATGAACGATTCCTTGATCAGCTTGATGAAAAGCAACATGAAACTCGCGGTGGAACCAACGCCGTACATTCGCTCCTTCCTCGAGGTAATGTCACTTTGGAAAGTCACTTTAGAAAAATCTAATATATGCGTAATTAATAATATGACGTAGACAATAGTACGTATAGTTTTCAAATCATACTCGGATATTATTTTTAAGGCTGTAAGTTAAACAAAAAGATCGATTTTTTCAAACTTCCGGCGCGGCTTCCCCGCTTAAAAGTTTCCGTTTTAATTTAGTGTTCTGCTTCGATCGAATGCAACACAATCTCTTGCCTATTAGGTGCCAGACAAAGAAGTGAGATACTTTTACGAGAATCGTTGGACGAAAATACCCGAATACAACAGGTACTTGCCCCTAGAGGAGGGACTGAACCGCGTAGCGGAAGGAACTCTGGCTTATCATGCGATGAGTGATAATGCTTATCCGTACATCGAACATCACTTCAACGACCGCAGCATCTGCGAGCTCACGGAGGTTCATCTGTTCCGCACGGTCCTGGCGTTTTTCGCCAGGCGCAAAAGCCCTTTCACCGAATTTATGAAAATTGGGTAAATCTGATTTTCGTATAGAAATTAACGCGTCGAGAAAAATAATCTGAATTCTTTGCGAAAGGCGTGTCTATATTATCCGTTTAAGAGGTAAATACTTACAAGGGATAACACGATCATGTAAACTCAGATCTGGTCCGAACTTTTTTTGGAGATTCTAGACCCTAAAAAAGTTTCGCCGTGTCCGAGGGTTCTTGCGAATGAACCTCAGGGGTCCCCAAAAAAATTCAAAAGCTGAAAAACGAATAAGCTAATAAAAAGAAGCCAAGGCTTGTTGTTAGTTAAAGCTACTTTCTGAAAACCCATGTTCGTCAAGAAATCTCAATGTAGAAAGTAATAGAAATACAAAAAATCCTTTGTAAATGATCACGTTTTTCAGATTGACGAAGATCCGCAACGTTGGTATTCAAAACCGCGAATGGAAACGATGGTCAGCCAGAAAACCATACTGTCCTACCAATCTACTTATCGCCGAACCTTTATCGATACAAGAAGCTGCACCGATATTCGTGTTCTTGTGTATCTCCGTGGGATTCTCGTTGCTCGTCTGCGCGACGGAGAATCTCTTCTACATGGTCGCGCCTACACGGTAAATTGAACACACAGAGGAAGAAGTTTGATTATTGACGTTGACGATCGTTGACACTTTATTTTACAGGATATCGAGCGCCGTGACGGAAGAGAAACATTTGATCGACGGAAGTACACCGTCTCCGCAAAACGCTAATCTACAGTCGCTGAAAAAATTCACCTTGTTCAAAGAATGGATGGATGCGCAAAGAAACTTAAATCGCGATGGTTCGTAAAGAGTTCTTTGTGAGGATCTTTAGAATCGTGTGGAACGTATATTCGATCTTTTCTTTAATTTTAAACGAAAGTAGAACGTCGATTGTCTTCAGTTATCCAAACGTAGTGTGATTTACGTACGTATGTATTTAATATTGTTTATTTTCACCATTGTTAAAAGACGGCACTGAACTCGGACTAATAAGTTGTACAATACCGAACGTTTAAAAAAGTGTGAAATTGTGAGTAATTTAGCAAAAGAATGTAATACTTGAAGGTGTATAATCAGAGGCATTGAATGTAATAATAAAACGAAATAAAACAACTATTAATGCACAAACATTCATAATTAGTTTCATTAATCGTATCTAACATAATGTTACTGCTTCTGGATACGTCGAAATAAGTATGATAAAATAACGTGAAGTTTACTTCATTTGCAATGGACGGGACTACCCCTCGTTACCCTAAATAATTTACTGAATTCAAATCGAAGCCCTGATTTATTGAATAATTCACCAATGAGAAGCTACAAGAGCAACGTCGAAACACACATAAATATGCTCGCAATGTGCTTGTTACAGCTGGCTTTGTCTCAGACATTGTAACATTCCGTCCATACGAAACTTAGCTTGTGTCCGTTGAAACTCGTGTGTCGCATTCTGACGAGACGTCCAATGAAAAATTAATCGATTTCTATAGATCCCTTCCGTGACTCGGGCAATTTGCCGAGTCGTTTGAAACACGTTTGACAGTCCGTCTTCGTGCAACGGAATACTAAACGATGTCCTGCTGCATTCTATGCATGATCCGAACGAGTTGCGTTAAAATAATCCGTTCAACGCGTCCAACGTTGCACGGAGAGTGGAAGGAAAATTGTAATTGCTCGTAAAACGTGAAAAATACTCGCGCGATGTACGCTGTTTGTTTCGGTTTGTCGTTTTTCGTTTTGCTCTCGAGCGCGCAAGATCATATTTTCATTCGCGACTATTTCGTGCACAAAAGGGTGCGAAATGTCGTGGGATTTTCTTGTGGCGACACGATAGGTACGCATTTCTTCAAATAATCTCCGTTATCGAAAGCAATTTTCTGTATTCTCGCACTGTATCATAAGTTATTCGATTTCTAGTATTAAGATCAAAGATATTACGATGTAATTCGACAAATTCTTAGTAGAATGAAACATTAGAATAAATCATACGGATAATGGTTAATTGTTCTTTGTTTGCGACGACGCACGACTCGGCTCAGGCGACTTTGATCTGCTGAAAACGCTGAGCACCACGGGAATATTTACAATAATAAGGGAACCCACCGTGAAGATCGACTTCCGCAGGTTCTTGAGGAGCGAAACGTGGACGGTGGGCGTCGTCGTCGATCTGCGTTGCCTCAACGATACCGCTTATCGAATTTTCGGCGAGGTAAGAAGGAAACACGAGTGATTCTCCCTTTCGAAATTCAATTTTCTAGTCGTGTATCAGAAACGGACTAATTCGTTCGATTGATAGGTGACTTCAATCTCGTTCCTTGAAAGTAAAAATTACTTTATCCAACCCTTCGCGGTCTAACAAGGGAAGCTCAGGTAACTCACTCTGAGATTTCGATGCCAATTTTTTTGATTATTCTAATGGTGAAAGAAAGAGATACGTGTCCCGGCGTTTGATCGAATAGGCCTTAGTTTCGAAGATAATAAATTTGCGAAAATCGAAAATTCTTTTTCGTAATTAAAAAATTCACATTCACATTCCGATGTTTGTTTAGTCTTCTTCCCCTATTACTAATTGTTTGAAAAATTAGAAATTTCAAATACTGTCAATATTATCTCCAATGAAATTTTAAATTTATACGATTGAAAATTCGAATACGTTAACTTATATTATCATTTCAAATATTACTGCTTGAATTAAGAATCCCTTTAAAATTAAATTCACATTAATGTTTATACTGTGATAATATAATTTCTACTTCGAAACGAAAAAATAAATAAATTTCAATTTTCACAAATTTATTACTTCACGTATCTCTTTTTTTTTTCACCTACAGAATATACAAAAACATTGTCATCGAAATCCCAGGGCGAGTTACCTGATGTTTCCCTTCTAAGTAAACGAAAAGGACAGCAAGTAACGTGCACGTTTATAAATTTCATGAAATCCAGAGCTCCAAGTACAGAATGTACGATTACTCGTACAACTGGCTAGTGATGGGCTCGAATTACAGCGAAAGCGTGCCTGCGTTAAACGACAGTGCTTACAACATGGTGACGGACGTTGTTCTCGCTATATCGAACAGAAACGGTTACGACCTGTACGACGTGTTCAACCATTGCAAATACAGGGGTGGTTCGTTGAACGTCACGGAACTTGGCACTTGGCACCGCGACTCCGGCCTGAACATCACTCTTACGCAGCCTTTAATTAATAGAAGAGCCAACATGCACGGATTGAGATTGAAAATATCCGGCGTGGTGAGTTTCCTTTGCATTCTCCAGATTCCCTTCTCCAATCCATTAATCAAATTATTGGACAATCAGTCAGCAAAATTTCGGTTAACGTTCGCGTAATACCACCTTTTCATTTATCAGTCGTTGCAGCGAAATTGCGCAAACGCGGTGTTTAATAAACGTTATTGTCACTTACTGCGTTATAATTGTAATAATTTAATTCTACTTGTAATTACAAAATTGATACGAGTTGAAGCAACCTTTGAAACAATTACTCAAAGCTTTTCTATTTCGCGCCAAATTTCAACACCGACCCAATAACCGACACTCTTAATTTACGTCGTTGATACGACTATTAACAATGTATATAGTAGACGTTCCATTACGTTTCCTATTAAAGGGAAAAAATCGCATAGAAAAAAAAAAAAAAAAAAAAAACACGTGTCCCATTTTATATTCAGATACAGTACAGGCCGAAAGACATGCGTCTCGAGGATTACATGCAGGACATTAATACAAGATCCTTGGACAGCATGCACAAATTTGTGCACGCAATGATCCTGCACACGGGAGATCTCTTTAATTTTAGGTAACGCAAAGAGAACTTTACTGTATTATTACAGGTCTTCTTAAACCTTTTTCGTTCGCGACCCCCTTCATCGATTGTGTTTTTTTGCCGCAACCCAAAAAATATAAAAAAAAAGATATGCATATGAAGAAATATAGTTTCAGAGTTCGTTTGAAAACGTAGAAAAATGAGAAATTAAAAATTGCACAAAAAGTCGCGAAATTGTATTTATTATAGTTACAAAAATTATACGCCCTATTTTACATTAAAATCTCGCGATCCATAGTTTCAGAAGCCCTGTGCGATTATGCTTTATTCCTACTGGCGCAATGACGAAGCTGTAATACTTTCGTTTCCAGTGTACACGCATCCGAAATCATTTACTGGGACAGACACAGCGTGCACGGTTTGATTTTCGAGTTCTTGCAGTCGAACTACATCGATTTCGCTAGCAATCCAAGGATTATGGTTTCCGAGCGATTAGATTATGCCAGCCTAATCGGCGCAGCGTGGCCGATTCGGTGAGAGAATTTTAAAATACAGGATGAAACACCCAAATGTTTCTTTTAATTTCATGAAGAAGATCTATAAGATAAAATGTTGCACTGTTCGAAGGATTGTATGTAATCGTGGGACCATGTTTTACTTAAGGTCATTTTTTAAGAAGATTTCACGGTCATTAGGATTCTTCTAATGGAGTGTATCTCAATAGGGTATTTTTATTATTGCAATCTCGTGGGTGAGCAGAAGACAAATTCGAAAATAGTCTTGCATTTTATTTTCAAGAAACCTCGGGCACTATTTAGTTCTATTTAACAAGTTCGAGCAAAGTTTTATCTAATTGTAAGAGTAATTGTCTAATTGTTCTTTCTATCAGGCCCTGTTTCATGCTGCTGTCGACCTCGAGCAACAAGATCAAAATGGAGATCTTCTTGAAGCCGTTCACGCGAAAGACGTGGTACATGTTCGCGGGTTTTGGGTTATTCTTCATATTCGTCATGAAAACAGTGATGAACCGCGAGGGAATCGGGAAGAGAGAAAAGTATTCCGGAGCAGTGGTGTTGTCGATAGGAATCTTGTCACAGCAGGGTGTGCATTCGATTAATAATAATTATCGAAAGACAAAAATAACTATCACCCCGTAGTTCCGAAGCATTTATTATTATTAAACTATTTCGACCCACTCCAACAAAATTTGCTTCTACATACCCATACTTCGCGATGACGATGACGATGGCGCAACAAAATATTTCGAACAAAATAAACAATTTAAACTATGTACATCGATGCTCGAAATTAAAATTATGAAACCGTTTGGTTCTGTCTACAAGGAAATCAATTTTCATGAACAGAAATGGTCGAAACGTTAAGTTTAATAATACTGATAATAATAAATGTCCTTAGGTAACAGATATTCAGTCAATTTTATTTTCTTAACATTTTTACTCGATTATTGCGTCTCCGCAGGTGCGAACATTCTACCAAAACGTATAGCCAGTCGCATAGCGCTTTTCCAGTTGACGGTACACTGCTGGATAATGTACAATTATTATTCGGCTAGTATCGTCTCGGCTCGATTGAGCGAACCACTGGACATGATGGAGGATTCCGTGACTGTTCTCGCCGACAGCGATTTAAAAATTGCTGCGGAGGCTGTGCCTTATCTTAACTACTTCCTGTACGTAAGTAACATAATTCGACTGTATTTTTGTTTCACAAGAAAACACGCGGAGGACACGCGAAGGTAAAATTCGTCTTTAGAAATTGAGTCGTCTATTTTATTTGTTCGCGAACGAAATAATTTTTCTAATTAGCAGAGAGATTAATAGTAGCACTGATCGCTAGAAACCGAATTGGGAGTCGGATTACTTTCGGAAGAAGCGCTGGGACCCCCTGCCAGAGTCGAAGAGATGTGTCTTTAGAAACTGAGTCGTCTATTTTATTTGTTCGCGAACGAAATAATTTGTTTAATTAGCAGAGAAATTAATAGTAGCACTGATCGCTAGAAACCGAATTGGGAGTCGGATTACTTTCGGAAGAAGCGCTGGGACCCCCTGCCAGAGTCAAAGAGATGTGTCTTTAGAAACTGAGTCGTCTATTTTATTTGTTCGCGAACGAAATAATTTGTTTAATTAGCAGAGAGATTAATAGTAGCACTGATCGCTAGAAACTGAATTGGGAGTCGGATTACTTTCGGAAGAAGCGCTGGGATCCCCTGCCAGAGTCGAAGAGGTACTTGCCTATAGAAGAAGGCATCAGACAAGTCAGCCAAGGGATTCTAGCTTATCACACGGACCCCAATACCGCGTATCCTTACGTCGAGAGGATGTTCGATTCGAATAAAATCTGCGCTTTGACGGAGATACACTTGTTTAAACAATCTGTGATGGGCATGTACGCCAGTCACAATGGACAGTTCATCGAGATGGCGAAAATAGGGTGAGAGAACTTTGCGTTAAATCTCGCGTCTCTTTTATTTCTTTTATTTTACAATAAGTTTCTTATTGTAGTTTCTTTTATTGTACAATAAGTTTCTTACTGTAGTTTCTTTTATTTTACAATAAGACTTATTTGAGCGGGGCTGTTTTTCATAGATTGACGAAGATGTTCAATACGGGTCTCCGTCATCGACAAATCAAGCACTGGTCGTCGAGAAAACCCCAATGTCAACCTGACACGTTATCAACGAGAAGCATCACGATCTACGAGACTGCTCCCGCCTTGATTTTGTTGACGTTTGGCCTGCTAGTGGCTGGAGGAATTTGCATCGTGGAAATAATTGCTCACAGGCGTTCGATGAAGTGAGTACAACTTCGATAATTGTGTGAAAATTTATTGCATTTTTTCGACAAGTGGAAAAGTTCGGTTAATCGCTTGGCAGCAAGCGAACTTGGAAATTGATATAAATTTTTATATCTGCGTACTGGATTTATTGAATGAGGAGAAATTCTATCGGAGATCGAGTCGATTCCTTTTTTTCATTCTAGTGGCCATATAATTTGTTTCTTTATATTTATTTGGAAGTTTTCTGTGTAAAACAAAATCAGGTAGAACGAAGATCCTATCACAAAACGATCCCACCACAAAGTAGATTGAAAATTGTATTCAGACGCAACCGGGACGGGTCGCTAATGGAAAATTAATTAACTAATGTATAAATGTATACGAAAGAGACTTTTAAACTACTCTTAAATATTTAGAAATGTTTCTATTGAAATTTAATTCAATTAAATAGAAAGACATTCAAATTTCCCGCGGGGAGATAGTGTCGCCAACTAGCGGTGGACATGCGAACTATTTTCGGAGTATGATCAGCGCCTCTATCGGGAAAACGCTCAAGTTTGTCGCCGATTAGTTCCAGCTTGCAACGCTAGATAGAGCCATTTGTTTGTTTTATTTAAAAAATAAAGAATTGAGGGTTCAAAATTGATTTCCATTCATATTTTAACATTACGAAGCTTGTTCACCTATTTGTTATTGGATGTAATAAAAAAAACATGGCCGAAACAAATGGCTCCATCTAGTGGCGAACTACCGAACTATTTTCGGAGTATGATCACTGACGACGCTAGATGGAGCCATTTGTTTCGACCAAGATTTTTTTATTACATCCAATAACAAATAGGTGAACAAGCTTCGTAATGTTAAAATATGAATGGAAATCAATTTTAAACCCTCAATTCTTTATTTTTTAAATAAAACAAACAAATGGCTCCATCTAGCGTTGGAAGCAGGAACTATTCCACGACAAACTTGAGCGTTTTCCCGATAGAGGCGCTGATCAGACTCCGAAAATAGTTCGCATGTTCGCCGCTAGACGGCGACACTATCTCCCCGCGGGAAATTTGAATGTCTTTCTATTTAATTGAATTAAACTTCAATAGAAACATTTCTAAATATTTAAGAGTAGTTTAAAAGTCTCTTTCGTATACATTTATACATTAGTTAATTAATTTTTCACTATCGACCAGTCCTGGCTGTGTCTAGGTGTAATTTTTGAATTCTCTACCATAAATTTTCTTAAACGAGTTCTTCGTGAAAAACAGTTCGTACATTGTATAAACATTTGTCGTTGTTACTTTAATTTTTAAAGTAGACTCTCCTTACAAAAGTTATCTCGATGAAAACATGTGTTTTGCAGAAACAAAGTGACGAATCGAAAGAAAATAATCGGCGCCAGAGGAAGCATCATCAGTGGAAATAGCAGAGACAACTTGCTAGATTTGCAACTCTAACATTTACATTAATATCTACCACCAAATAGATATAAAACGATATTTTAATTAGTCGAAGTTTTAGTTTCACCTATGCCAAACTTGCCACGTTATTTATTATTCGACTAGTACACGATTATTATTTAAATCATTCAGCATCGATGAATTGATTTGCTCCTTCCTCCCTAATTCCAAAGATATGTAGTATGCAACTGATGAAGTATTATCAATTTATCAGACATTATCGAACGTCCCTATTAGAAAAGAATCGAGAATATCGAGTCGTTTCAATTTTATAAAGAGCCATCACGTCGAAAGTGACATGTTTTCTCATAGAAAATTGATAAAGAGAAGACATAACTTGCAAGGGTTGGAGCACGAACGTCTGCATGCAGTCGGTCGATTAGCAATCGAGAATGAAGAAGAACGATTGCAGCAGTAATGCATCTGCGAAATTTCATTAGTTTCCAATTAATTGTTATTTCGTGCGCGAGCAGCGTCGACTTTATTCGCGATTATTTCGTTTATAAAGACGTCACAAGGGTAGCTGGACTTTCCTGCAGAGAGTACGACAGTGAGTGAATAAATTAAATAAAAGTGATTTATATTATTTAATATAAATACTATAAACTATAATAATAACTAACTATAATTAATATAAACTATAATATTGATACTAATAAACTTAATAAAGTTCAACGTTTCTATCAATTTTACCATTACGTAATTTATAATAATGCCACAAGAAATTGATTTAGCTATTTGAATAAATGTTTATGCAGACAACTACCAAATCATCAGGCTCCTCAACGATGTTGGAATTTCGGTTTCGATACACCAGCTCGGATCAACCGTCAATATATCGCGATTCTTGCACACCGAGTACCGGGGCTTAGGTGTGTTTTTAGATCTACGATGTTCAACAGACGAGGAGAGCGTGACAATTTTCAACGAGGTAAAACTAAATCGTGAAAATTACGTTGTCTTATTTTACTTTACGTCAGCGATCTCCAAACATTTTAATGTTTAAAAAACAAACTACTACAAAAATGAAATTTCTGTGCTTAAAATAAACGAATACAAAATTAGTGTTATGCATTTATTTTAATTCGTTCTGATTGTTTTAGCAAATTAAATGATAAGATCTGGCTGTAATAAATAAATTATTTTATATATATGCAAACAATGTGATTCGAAATGTAGGATTCTCGTTGGAATGATCCGAGAGAATGTGTTTTATTTTTTTTGTTCGATTAAAATAAAAATGCTTAAATATTATTAAAGTACACTCACCACCTCCCATGTAGGAGTCGTGCCTCTTTGTTTGGAAAATAAAATTTAACAACCGTCGTTGTCTCGATTTGAATATACGAGAAAAACAATTTAGGCTTCAGCCAGCAACATGTTCGAAAAATTGCATCGGTGGTTGGTTCTGGGGACAAATATGAGTCTCGATGAACGAGTGTTGAACGACAGCACGTTCAGCGTCGTCACCGATTTTGTGATTTCTATACCGAGGAACGACGACGATTACGTCTTGTACGATCTCTATAATCATTGCAAACATTGCGGTGGTTCGCTCAACATCACAGAATTTGGCAGCTGGACGAAGAACAGTGGATTGGCCGTCACTTTGCGCGATGGAAAAATCGCCAGACGATGGAACTTTCATAAAATGAAAGTCAAGACTGCTGGTATTGTGAGTAGCGGCGATTGTAAATGATAATAAAAAAGTGTTAGATGGTTTCAACAGTTTTTCTTTTTTTTCGTTTTATTTTTCGTGTTGTCCTTGGAAAGTGTAAGAATGTTGTTGTTTATTTAGGTAGAATGTAGACCGAAGGATCAAGATCTGATAGAATACCTTGAAAAAAGGAATACCTTACTAGATGACCACTGGTCCAAATTCGGATTCGCCATTATAAAACAGATGACCAGCATGTTCAATATCACGTAATATTTTTTTGAATTATTTCCGAAGTTCGGAATTCTGTAATTGGAGCATTTTGGACAGTAATAAGTTGACTGCGGATCTTTATGCATTTATAGGAAATTTGAATGTGCAAGAAGAACCTAGAAAATGCAAACGATATGCAAGAATATAAAAAAGATCAAAATAGTAAAGTTCATGTTATGATATTTGCGAAATAAAATAAATTCCTATTTGGGTTCAATTTCTGTAGGTACCTCCACGAAGATTTTATTTTGCATAAAGATCCGCAGTCCTAGTAATAAGCGAGCTCAGAAAACCTTAATTCTTAATAACGACATTTACAAAATATCGTGGTTATAAAGCTAAACCATTCTCTTCATTTTGTATCTTATTAGACGAAATAAATGCGAAAATATAGATTCATCGTTCATTTATTAAATGTTTAATTTACAGTCTCGATTTAATCGAATTAAGCCATTGGGAAAAACACGATAGAAACGGTCCAGTGTTCGCCGGTTTCAGAGATCGACGTTTCGATTTAAGCTATTATCCGTCGATCCTGACAAACGAAAGACTAAATTTTGCCGACGTGATGGTGCAACTGTGGCCTGCAAGGTGATAACAAATTTAGAAATAAAAGATTTTTTGTTCATTCGTACCGTAGACGATATTATTCGGGGTCCGATGCACCTAGGAAAATATTTGAGCTCCGTGCCCTATAATTTAAAAACATTTAGAAGATATTATTCGATGGTCATTTTACTTGTATTTACTTGTATTTCAAATATGACTGTGTTTTTGATATTATATATTTTTAATATTACATGTTATTAATATTTTAATATTATATATTATATAATACTTTTAATATTATATCTTATGAATATATTAATATTATATATGTTTTAATATTATATATTTTTATTATTATATGTTTTTAATATTACATTCGTTAACATTTTGTCCGTTCTTTCCGCAGAACCTGCTTTTTGTTTCTTGCCGTACCTTCCACGAACTTGGATATGCAAATTATATTCAGACCATTCGAAAAAAATGTTTGGTACATGATTGCTTTCTTATCGGTCATAATAATTTTCATATTATGGATAATCTTGAAGTTGGACAAAGATTCTGATTACGAAGCAACGGTTCTTATTATCGTTGCCGCGCTCAGTCAACAAGGTATTTTATTACGCAACATATTATTAATTTATTTTATTATTCAAAGGAAAAATTTATGACTTTACAGGGCTACCATTTAACAGCAGTCACTTTGCAAGCCGCGTAGCCTTCCTTCAGACCCTGATCTTCGGTTTGCTCGTCTATAATTGTTATTCAGCAGCGATAGTGTCTAGTCGATTACGACACGTTCCTTGGGACAAAATGAACGATTCTTTGTATTCGTTAGCGAACAGCAAGCTAAAGCTTAGCGCTAATAAGGATATATACTTCAACCTTTTGATAAACGTAAATTTCTTCGTATTTACTCATAAAGTTTAACACTTTCGCTGCGGACGAATATAAGTAGCCGTTCGCTGGGAGCTGCAATTGATGATATTTTTTTTAATGAAAAATTTCTTACAAATGTCCTGATATGATTATTTTGAAAAACATATATATATATATATATGGTAACTATGGTATTTGTGGTAACTTATTTTATATATAATATGATTGCCGAACAAAAAAAAATGAAAACTGAAAAATAATAAAAACAACCATATGTTTTCAGTTGGACGCACATGTGCGTCATCCGCAGCAAAAGTGTTAAACAATGGTTTTATAATTGTGTATTGATTTACTGGATCGAAAAAATACCGTAGTCTGCTCCACCGGACGTTCAATATTTTAAGAAACATTGGGACACTTTACCGGAGAATTCTAGGTTTCAACCGTTATACGAGGGTATAAGAGGCATAATGAATCCTAAATTTGCGTACCATGTGAATCCAATGAACGCCTATCCAGTTATAGAAATCATGATGACCAAGATGATGATTTGTCAACTCACCGAAGTTCATTTGCTTCGACCTTCCATGTTAGGCTTTTGGTCGTCTCATCATAGTCCGTTGCATGAAATAGCGAAGATAGGGTAAGGAAATTGCAAAGAATTTTATAGAAATTCTGTTCGTAATTTATACTAACAATTAATTGTAGTCTTATCAGAATATTAACTTCTGGAATTCGAAAACGAGAGATGTACCGCTGGACTTCTAGAAAGCCTTATTGCGACGAACACAAACGCTATGTATCAAGCGTTACGATTCTCGAAGCAACGCCGGTTATACTACTTTTGCTTACTGGGATAATATTATCTGTCGTTATTTGCGTTATAGAAAATATTGTTTTCCGTGCATTTCAAACAAAACCGGATACTATAAAAAAGCTGGAATGTTCAAACAAATTACACCAGAAGAAAGTAGCATCTATCACAGCACCGGGAAACAAAACTAATGGAAGTAGAAATATTTGCACTAAACGCAAAGATGTAATAGTTCGATAAAATCATAGGTATTTAAGTTGAGCACAGTTATCGTTTTACCTCGTCTGTTTAGGAATATAATCAATGTGGTAATATTCTATGTAAATCATTTAAATAAAACACGAACCACAAGACTTAGTTGTACAGTTTTAATATATAAATTAAATTTGTTAAATAAACCAGCACGATTACACTATATGAAAAAAAATACCATATAGCATGAATGTATCGCCGGAACAAGGTTAGGATAATATAGAAGGGGAGATGATGTTTTATTAAAAAATATTGTGATAGCTTTCTGATGATGACAAATGCATATACGCGGGATAGTGTGTCAGTTATTTCTTTTTTTTAGACTTCTTGTCAGTCGGAGCTGGAGTAGTTCCAGTAAGATCTGCTAACTGCTTTTTAAGTTTTAGTAAGTTTTCCACTTCCGGTAACCATACAGATTTATCCCCCTTGGCTTTCAGTTCACGTACGAGATTACCCTAACAATGGAATAATAAATATATCATAATATCAAAATTAATTGTATTATATTATTGCCCGTGAATGATTTCGTCATACTTGTTTAGCAATACTTGATTCCAAATTTGCTATATCCGTTGGGACATCTCCATTTTGTTCAGGTACAGGTACCGGTTCAGGCTTCTTAGTTTTCGGTTGCGACGGTACAGAAGGCTTGCTTTCACCACCCTTGAGATCAGTAAGTTTCTTTTTTAAGTCTAAAAGAATCTGAACCTCGGGTAACCAAACACTTTTATCGTGTTTGGCTTTCAGGTCTCTAACCTTGTTGCCCTAAAAATATAAAAAATATATATATAATACCTCAAACCTATATTAGCATTTACTTTGATTATTATTATTATTAAAAAGATTTAACAACCTGTGCTACTATTGCACCCTCTAAAGATTTTTCATCGTCATGCACATTAATTGCTTGAGTTTTATTTACTGTTTCTTGTTTACCAGCATATTTGTTTCTCAATGTTTCTACATCTTTGTCCTCCATCTTTTTAAATAAAGGAGATGGTTTACCAATTTTATGACCCGTTGAAAGTATGTTTGTAATAACATCAGGGATATAACCATAATTACTACTGTCCAATCCTAACTGAGATCTTAATTCGCGAGAAGTGTTAGGCATGAACGGGGATAAAAGAGCTGATAAGAGACACGCCAAATTACAGCAAATGCCAACGACCGTTCCAGCTCTCTTCCTGTAAACAATAAAAAAAATGGTGATTACTTTGCGCGTAAGTGAAGAATGACATTACTTAACTCTACTAGATAAAGCTTATTCACAAGTACTATAGCACAGACCTGCAACATTATTTAACATATAAAAGCCGATAAAGAGTCATACTCAGTTTACAGCATAAAATTAAGTCACGCAACAGCAATCCGCACTGAACAAAGGAACCTAGGAAATAAATATTCTAATATTTAATATTCTAACCTCTAACGCAACAAAATCATTTTACAGTATTCAAATTTTTTGCTGTCAATAACGACTTTCATCTAACAAAATTAGAAAATGATTCAAATTAAACAATAAAATAACGTAATTAAAAACGTAACCTTATACCCATTGTACATTCACGAGTTGCTTACTTGTCATCATCGGTTCCTTTGATTTTCACCCATGGTTCTTGGAATTGCATGTATTGATTCCCATGTTTAGAAATTGCTAACACATGCCTCAAACCATCTCGTAGTTTAGCTTGCTCCAAAGCCTGTATGTAAGATGATAATTCGCGTTGAGCTAATACCAATAGTGTTAAGTCGTCTTCTTGAAGTTCCATCGATGGAATTTTGGAGTCAAAATATCTTTCCGTAAATACCAGGGCTCTATTTATTAAAAATAATTTTTAGAAACTATAATAAAAAAAAAAGGGGGAATGTGGAATTTCGAACAATTACATAATTATCGACCAAGATCGCGCACCTGTTAACAAAGTTTCCAAAATTATTTAATAACTCGCTATTATTTTTAGTCGCTAAATCCACCCAATTAAAATTAGAATCTTGAGTTTCGGGTCTAACAAATGCAAGATAAAATCGCCAAACGTCAGCTGGTATACCCGTATCTCTAGCATCGGTGCCGAACACTCCAATACCTCTTGATTTAGAAAACTTTGTATCTTCGTAATTAAGATACTCTGAAATAAATGTGAAACATTAATAGTTAAACGTATAAACGATCAGATATTTTGCAATATCAACGTGTTTAATGTATATCAATTTTTGTTTAGACATACCCGTCGCCATTAAATGTTTTATTAACGTATGACCCTCATTAGCTGCTAATAAACAAGCAGGAAACATTATTGCATGGAACGGAACATTATCCTTTGCCATAAACTGATACAAATCAACTTTTACATCTTTAGGTTTCCACCACTGCTCATACTCCTTCGAATATCTCTTTGTAATACTCAGATAACCAAAGGGCGCGTCAAACCAGACGTAGAACACTTTATTTTCGAAACCCTTTACTGGAACAGGAATTCCCCATTTCAAATCCCGTGTTATGCATCGTGGTTTAAGTCCATCGCGTAACCACGGCTTTGCAACTACTCTCGCGACACCTGACCATCCATTTTCCACAGTTGCAGACCACTCTTTTAATCTAGCCTCTAACTGTAAAGAGGAATATCTTTATATTAAATCACGATAATATACATTTATTATTAAATAATGCTAGTTATATAATAAAATACCTACCTTAGGTAGGTCTAAGAAAAATTGTTCCGATTTTTTAATGACAGGCCTACTGCTGCATACTTTACATCGTGGAGATATTAACTCTGTGGCATTTACTAGATGCCCACATCCGTCGCATTGGTCACCTCGTGCATCTTCATATTTGCACCTTGGACACGTCCCTTCTACAAATCTATCTGCCAAAAATCTATTACAGGATTCGCAGAGGAGTTGATCCACAGTTTCGCTTAACACATACCCCTGCGATTTTATTCTTAAGAAAAATGATTGCACAATTCTGAAAGACGACGGAAAATGATTACATTCTGTAACTAAGCAAGAGAGCAATAGAAAGAAAACAATTAAAATGTAATTTTATCTATAAATTATAATTTTGACGGGAATATTTTAATGAATTATATTCTATAATGACGCTAGTACAAGATGCATCTTACTCTGTTTGCTCAGGTGTAGTAGTGCGACCAAAATAATCAAACCCTATGCTAAACCACCGATATACATCATTGTGTATATCAAAAAATTTGTCACATATAGCTTGCGGTGTTGTTTTCTCTTCTAAAGCCTTAGCTTCTGTAGCAGTACCATATTCATCAGTGCCGCTGCAATATTATTTCAGTTTTATCGGAATATTTCATCTTTAAGGTTAGAAACGAATAATAGATAATAAAATAAGTACAAACCTAATAAAAAGGGTATTATAATTTCTTTGTCTGCAGTATCTGTAAATAAAAATTAAGATTAAAACACGTACATATTGAATTATAAAATACATTACTCTTTGAATTATGAAACCTAACCTGGCAAAGATATCAGCAGAAAGTACACAACCAATAATATTTCCTAAATGAGGAACATTGTTGACATAGGGCAACGCAGATGTTACTAGAATATTTTTTTCACCCTTTTTCGGTAATCTGAAGATAATGTGTATATTTACATTAAAAATGTACTTATCATTCCATTCAAATTATATTTATGTACGTTCAAGCTTACACAGGATACGGAGAATCCTTCATAGCTGGATATGACTTAGAAGACCAATTACTTGTGATATTTTGAACTTCTTCTTGACTAATTGATTCAATTTCCTTTTCTTTAGTTGGGCTAATTTGAGCTAAACTTACATCACTAGCTGGTTTGGATGACCGTGTGTTCATGACTGTATTAACAGGAAACCAAAATGCAGCTTGAATACTGAGAATTGCTTTAATGCCTCTTTCAAACTTGTATTCCTTAAGGGAGTCCTAAATATATGAAATACCAATATAGCATTAATCGTGAATTCAAAATGTATGTAACATGTAGTAACAATAATAAACGAATTTCATACTTGAATAACTGGGAGTAACTCGATATATGATAACCATTTTTTAATAGATGAATATTCTTTACATAGTTCCTGTCCAACTTCTGTAACTAATACAGTAGACCATATAGTTACCCAAATGCATACATCTGCCAATGATAAATCACTGTTATCCTAGAATATTATTAATTTCACCTTAGTTGTATCATAATATTTCGTTTGATGTTGCATTGTGCATATACTTTTTATTTACATTACCTGAATTAAGTACTTTCTGTCTTTTAGCGCATCATTGAGTTCTTTTAGTAAAGTCCACAAATAAGATTTATTTGCAGTTCCTGTATTACTGCAACACACTATAGCTGGCTAAAAATTAATTTAACACTTTATTGTGAATAATTAACACGTAAAATTATCCAACTGATTTATATTTATTTACCTGTAATCGAGAAATATCCCATTCCAACCATCTATTATTAATAATCAGTGATCCTTCAGATGAAGGTACTAAGAACTGCATTGCTGCATTTGTGCTAAATAGCACAGATCCGGATGGCAGTTCAATAGTAGGTAAACGGCCCAAAAAACTTGCTAAACATAGAATACAAAAACTCTTTTTATATTAGGTACAATCAGTTTATAACTAAATCATTCAGAAATATGATCTGATGATTGAACAAGTAAATTTTTTTAATCCTTTGAAGTTTAATAGTATATTTATTTGGTTCTATCTTAATACTATTCACAAACAAACATATGTTGTTTCATCATATAGTTCGAAATTGAATTATTCGCACTGAAAAGGTTAGGTTCCTTACCGTTTGGTTGCACCGTTTTCACAGTGAAGGATTGTTGGGCTATTTTAGCTGCAACTATTACTTTTAACGCATTTGGATTGCCTTCATTCGTTGAGATAATCATTGTTACTAATAAGTTAATAAATATTCACAATAAATAGACGAAAATACGTTCAGCACACAACCGACACATGTGAGCGACAACTAAATGCAGTCTCTG